CTTTACTGTTTTCAAGGTATTATTTATCAAAGAAAAAAATTGCAGGTAGCGTTTATATCTTACCACTCTTTACATATATGGATCATAACTTATTTTTTTATCAGATGTATGTTAGGAGCTTCTTGTCTCATGTATAATAATTTTTGCTCCCTGAAATTCTTCTATAGAGGATATTGTTTCCAGTTTATCCTTCTTGTCTTTGTCGCACTTGCCAATCAGTAAATTGCACTTGTTAGACAAGGGCCATAATTCTGAAAGCAATATTTATGGAGTTATGCCTCTTTTTGATGTAAAGATTTTCTCAGACAAGCATTATCTCTGCATGCGCTGCTTTTGTTCTGATACATTGTAAAATGTATTTGAGCCGTGTCAGGACAAAACCAACAGTGCGTTTGCGACCAGCATGGATCCAGACCAGCCTGCGCATCCGCGCAGTCTGATCAGGATCCATGCTGTTCGCTTACAAACCCTATAACAAGTAGAGAAACTGATGGCGAACAGCATGGATCCTGATCAGACTGTGCAGATGCGCAGGCAGGTCGCAAACCCATTATGTTGGTTTTGTCATGACGCGGCTCATTTGTTGATTTTTCACACTGTTAATATTTTGTGTATACAGATGTTTAACAAAGAACTCTAGTGCTGTGATAGAACTGGAGTATGAGAGACCGGTATGTTTAGAGCTTTATAAAGACAACAAGGAGCTGGGCAGGTTCATGTTGAGATCTAGTGGTCACACCATAGCTGCTGGTCTAGTAGAAGGGGTTAGTGTTCCTGATCTTATATAATGTTTTACTTCTTATTTGAATATAGATAAAGGAATCAGTATTATAATTAATGAATAGGGTTATGGAGTAAGATATTTATTTAGCTTGTCTGTTTTGAGCGATTATGATTGCTGTGTTGTTGTTTTTGTCATGCAAAGCCTTTAATGTAGCTCATTATTCAAATATTTCAAAAATTATAAAGATGAAACTTGGCACACTTGCTTGCCATGACAAGGTTGTTAGACAAGGGGTATAATTCTAAAAACTATATTAGTGGAGTAATGCCCCTTTTTACCTCAGATATTTGTTATTGTCAAAATTGGTTATTGATAGTGGTTGCCCTTAACAGACGAGCATTAACATTGCATGCTCTTGTTTAAGTAGATGGTTATAAAATCTACATCAGATTTGAAATTGTTAGAGTGGAAAGACATTTTGATTAACGTATATGCGTAAGCTTTCAAGTATGAAAGAAGATTATGTAAGCTTGGTGATAGGCTATATAATACTATATAATTGGTCTTTGAATCATCTTCTAATAGAAATTCTCAATTGACCTCAGTAATGTTGATTGGACTACACACCAACTTATTAGCCACAACTTTTTGAGAATCCTTGAACAGTAACCAATTGAATATGTGTAATGGAGATGCCTATTTAAGAATTTCCAACTGTCCATTCAAAGCTAAAGGGATTTCAATATCAAAATACAAAAAAAAAACAAAAAGCATAGCTAGTCTAGAAAAAAATTGAACAGGACTTAATAGGTTACTTCAGTAAATGTGATATGAATGCATAACATGCACTGCTCTTTCCAGCTTGATTAAATTGTAATTATGTTGTTATGCATTCAGTTTGTGAATGAGTCCTCTCTATATGATTTGAAATAGTACACTTTACATAGTACATATATTTTCTTTGTTAAATTATGTCAGGGTTGTGAATGTGATGTACACAATATAAATCTGGCATCATTTAGAAGAGGATTTATAGATATCTCCATTAAGGCTTCTTTCAAAATATTGTGTTCTTATTTTAATTGAAAAAAATGCTTATTTTATATTCTTTATTTATTTTGAAGGTTCTGAAGACTAAAACAGGGTATGTAGGGGAAGAGGGACAACTGTGAAAAAGTGTGAGGATATATGATAAAAATACAAACTGGTTACATGACAGTTTTACTTGAGCTTTTATTCCAAATGGTGCAATGTGTTTTGCTTTACTTGCAAAATTAAAAAAAAAATTAAAACATTTCAGAGTTGTTTTCCGATTTCTTGAGACTTGAGTGTGCATATTTAGCTCAGTAGGGAGAGCACAATGTTTTTAATCAGCGTTTTTTATGTTTGATCCTGGAGGGAGGAGAATTTTTTCTGTGACAACTGATCTTGGAAGTCAAGTCGTTTAGTTATTTCTCTTTCACAGGTGATTCAGAAATCATGAGGAATTAGTAGTGGGTAACTTGCCCAGAATTTGGTAATTGCTGGTTAGTTATCCAGAAAAGCCGGTTAGTTGACCAGTAGCCGAGATACGATAAAAAAATAAGTTGAAATCGACATGAAAACTAGAAGAACAGAGACAAAAAAGTGTAAAAAGTGATTGATGTCACTGCTGTGTTAATATGAATTGTTTGCATTTGTTTTAGGTCTTAATGCATGTTAGATATAATGGTATATCATCATCTTTATAATTTGGTAGTTGTGAAGTTTGAGGCCTCACCAATGTTTGCCATATCTAATAAACTGGATAGCCTGGTTTCTTCAATGAAAGGATTTGATAACCATATTATATATGAGAAACTGATAACCATTTACAGGAATTAACAAGCATTGATGAGTGCAGTTATCATATAGTATTGACTTATGGGTACCCAAAGGAGGCATTGACTCACAGATGTGTTTTTAATGTAGTTAAAGCACTAATTCAGACCTTGTCAATGAAAATAAAATTTTATACAACCATGATAATACAAAAACAGAGTTAAATGAGATTTCATGAATAGTTTGGACGTTTCTGTAACTTGGAAGCATTAAAATTTTCTTTGCAATGTTATTCATAATAGGTCTACACTATTACTATATCAAATTTGAGTAATATTCTTACCCTGCCTTAATGGGGCATGCCCATTTTTTCGCTGTAGAGTTGAATGAGTAATATGTTAAAAAAAAACGACTATTAAAATGGTGACAGACTTGATAATAAAGAAATATGTAGGATAAATTATACAAACTACCAAAATTATTAAAAAGCCTCACTCTTTTTAAAAGATATATTATTCCAACCAATATTTATAGAAATGTCCTTGGGTCGTATGGATTATTGATTATTTTTGCATGGTAAAATATAAAATTGAAAACAATTATGGTAATATGTAAAGTTGTTTTGAATTATCCCTGTGCACTCGAAAGTACACTTGCATAATGTCACTTTAAATTTGAGAAAGTCCATTAGTGATTAAAGAGATTTCATTATCAGAATATCAAAATTACGTAAGCTAAGTCAGAATGCATGGATATAAGTGACAAATAGTGAAGTTTGACTTGATATTGTAAATTAATACCATTTTTCATGCATCTTTATCAAATCATGCAGAATATCTAGCTAAATAAAGGCTCAAATTATCAAACTGGTAACTTGTAAGTTTTGCCGTCTTCCATAAATTCTACACAAACATGTTAAATAAATATCATACATGTAAGTGGGAAGTTCTTTTTTCTTCTGGTTTGTTATTTTGATTGGTGCCAGGAACCAACCAGCATTAAGCAATAATTGTTTAAGAAAGTATTTGACACTATCGCTTTATCATTTGTATGACAAGAAGTTAGTAAAATACTTGTGAATGATAATATTGCTACTGTGTTTAAGATATCTTTGATCTTCAGCATGGATTCAGAGAAAGACGATCATGTGAGACACAACTCATTGAACTTACTGATTACCTTGTGAACAACCTTTCAAATGGCAAACAAACAGATCTCATACTTCTTGACTTCTCCAAAGCATTCGATAAAGTAAACCATCTTAAACTCTTAGATACCCTTCAAGAACATGGTGTTTGTCCTCAAATTATAAACTGGATACAGTCCTTCCTTATTGGCCGTAGACAGACAGTAGTTGTGGATAGTGATTAAGTCAGATTATTTGCAGACGACACTGCTGTATACTTAACCATCAACTCCTCAGACCCCCCAACTCTCCAACATGATCTAGACAATATGGTTCTGTGGGAGAAGCAGTGGGACATGGAGTTTAACCCTTCAAAATGCCAAGTCATCCATATCACCAAAAATAAAACCATAATTAAACACAAATATATGCTCCATGGCCAAGTACTAGAGTCTGTTACAAATGCTAAATATCTCGGACTAGATCTATCTGCTGACCTTAAATTTAATACACATATATCTCGAATAACTTCCAATGCAAACAGATCCCTTGGCTTTATTAAAAGAAATGTCATTACTAAAAATGAGAAAGTGAAAGAACTAGCATACAAGTCCCTGGTGCGCCCACAGGTTGAATATGCCTCAACTATTTGGTCTCCTTACACTAAAACCAATATTGACAAAGTTGAGATGATCCAGAGACGCGCAATTAGATGGGTTAAAACGGATAACTCCCCTCACTCTAGTGTCACAGCCATGCAGGAAGAACTGGGCTGGCGATCCCTTGAACATCGCAGATTGGACTGTAGACTGATAATGTTTTATAAGATATACCATAACCTAGTTGCAATAAATCTCCCAACTTATGTTCAAACCCCACATAGATTAACCAGACATATGCATCCCTTATCCCTACGCCAAATACAGGTATCCTCTGACAAGTACTCTTTCTTCCCTCATAGCATTATACTATGGAATAAACTTCCTAGTAACATTGCCACCCTGCCCAACCTGAGTCAGTTCAAACAGGCAGTGGTGGGTTTGCAGTACTAGTCTTACTCCCAGTGTTTTTAAACTATTTTATCTCTTATCATCTTGTTTCACTATTAACATTTTAACCATGACTAGAATACATTTTCAGTCTCACCTTCCAAGCATGTCAATGTTTGGACTTTTCTTTTTTAGCTTTTCTTTTCACCTTTTACTAACAATCCGACGTGCACTAAATTCCTGCCTTTAACACTCGTAAGAGGGGTTGGCAGTATCCAGAGATAGATAGATAGATATATAATATTAGTAGTGTACAACCATTAATTTGGAGGGTTATGACCCATTATTGTATTAGCTATTTTCACGAGTTACAAAAATAACGGTAAACAAAATGGCTGCGCCCATGCAAGTTGAACTCGGATTTGTAGAAAATGTTGAAGAATTCTTACTTAAGAGTAGATTTTTTCCTAGTAAACTAGGCGGTAGACCAGCATGGTTGGCACTTGAGTCCCTCCCAACCACAGAGGAGCTGTCGTGCTGTGAATGTTCTCAGCCGACGTCATTTCTTTTACAAATATCATCGCCCATGCCTCAGAAATTGGAAACTTTCCATAGAACTATATTTATATTTGTTTGTAGTAATCCTAACTGCTGCAAACCAAATTCAAACAAAAATTTCCATGTGTTCAGGTCACAGTTGCCTAGAGAAAATAAGTTTTACAGTACAGAACCGGCTCCAGAAATTCCTGAAGAGAATGAAGTAGATGCCAGCAAGTGTAACAAGTTATGTGTAGTGTGTGGCTGCCTTGGACCAAAAACTTGCAGCAAGTGTCATAAGGTAAACTACTGTTGCAAGGGACACCAGGCTCTTCATTGGAAAAAGGGACATAAAGCCAGCTGTAGTTCAGGCAAAGGTACTATCATTGGTCCAGTTTGGGCACAGGACCTGTTCCAACTCATTCAATGTCGTTTTTCTAGAAAACCCGCAGTTTAAAAGACAATAAGCTGCCAACATATTGTTAGACACTTATTGCTTTATAATATTATTAACACATTTCAAATGTCAGAAACATTTCAATGAAAATTGCATTAAGGAAACTGGAACTGGTCCTTTACCGGAACTGGTTAATTGACTGTACATTATATAGTCTCGATATTTCAACTGCAAGACGGACTGATTTTACAAACTGATAAACATTGATTTCGGTCTGAGAGGGCCACTGTCTTTTATAAAATAAAAAGTTCGGGACACAATTTGTTGGGTACATGTATATTAAAATGTGACTGGTGAAGTGGTAATTTATTGCAGTGTACACGTTGCATCTTTTGTTGTGTTGACTTTAATCTCAATGTATTTTGTTTTTCTTTTTGAGCAAATATACACTGCAACATGTATAATAGTGTGAGTAAATTTGAATATTTCTTTTGTAAATCTATCATTGGAACAGCAGCATTAGAGTCAAACATGTATGTTTTACAAGTGTATATCTTTGCAGTGATTTTCCTGCTTATAATACAGACTCCGATAAAAGGCGTCTTCCCAAGTGAAATTTTCTTAAAAATCATGCAGTTTTCCCAAAAATCTGAATTTAAACCTGCTTCTTATTTCCCAAATTTGCAATTTAAGTGATAATTTTTCCCAAATCAAGAGGCTAAGGCCTGAAAAATCACTGCTTTGACTTATTAAACTTTGAAATACTTGTACTTGCTTAATCTTACATGTAGACAGAAGAATAATAAATGGTAGGATTTAAAGGTTAGGTGGACATGAAAACCTATAAATAATAATTATGGAATATTCAAAGTAACAAATTGTATTTTTCAGATGACAATACAGACTTGAGTAAATTTGAATGTTTGTTTCCTGAAATGGAGATTGTCACAGAAACTGAAAATTATCAACCTGAAGATGAAGTAGAAAAGACTGATAAAGAGAAGATGAAGGAGTATGCCGAGTACTTAAAGACAGAAAACATGTCACAAACATGTGGTGAAATGCCCGAGGCCGAGCTGCAGAAAATGGCCAGTAAGGAAAGTGAAAATGACAAACAGTTGAGGAAATTTAAGAAAAGAATAAGTCTTGAACCTGAACAGGTAATGTTTTACGATTGGCAACAGCCTTAAATCAAAGAAATGTAATACTTGTCAGATAGTTAAAGTGAAAATGAACTACCATTTGACATCATTATTTTGTAGTCTGAAGTCACCGTTAACAGCAGTCATGACTACAAAATATAGGGTACTATGCTAAAATACAGAGCAGTAAACACTTCATACTAAGAGTCTATGATGCCGATGCAATATTGTGGTTATCATTTAGTTCAATATTTAAATCTTTCTATAACAAATTGTTAAAAGCATTAAATTGATGGCTCTTCTGCATTCATGATCAAGTAAAATCTAATTGCTTAAAAAAAGCAGGGTAAACACTTCACACTCTAAATTGCTGATTCTACATTGTGGTTATCAGTTAGTTACAGATTTAAATAATTTAATTTTTCACAAATTGTTTAATGCATTAGATTAATGATGATTCTTCTGCATTCCTGATTAGGTACCCATTTCCAGTAAAAATCCATTTGAGCATTCGCACAGTCTGATCAGGATCCATGCTGTTCGCTTACAGACCCTATAACAAGTAAAGAAACTGATAGCAAACAGCATGGATCCTGATCAGACTGCGCAGGCTGGTCTGGATCCATGCTGGTCGCAAACCCATTATATTGGTTTTGTCGTGACGCAGCTCATTTTATTGTGTTGTAGGTGCTGAGATATGATAAAGGACAAGAGCCATTGTGGATTGCTCATGATCCAAAACCGGATGTGATACCGGATTGCAAATGTGGAGCCAAACGGCAGTTCGAATTTCAGGTACTTTAGTTTCATATTAATTCTTACTTTTACTAACGATGAAATGTGAAGGAGAACATATTTTTTAGGGTAAATCCTTCTCTAGACAGCATAATTAATTTTAATTATCAACATGCATTACTAAAGAAGTAATGAAAAAAAAAAATTGATAAAAATTTATAGGTTAATTGGGTTAAACTAAGGCATGTTTACTGTAATTACATTTTTCTTTATTTGCTAAGAGCTAGTGATAATTAGAACTGCTTCTGAAGTTTTCATAATTGAAATCATACTTGGAAGATTTCAATAATTTTATTTCTAATACAAGCCTATATGGACCAGTATCTTTATCTTGACCATTTAGATGTTATGTATACCGTTAAAAAACAAGCAAAATTTGGACATTTGACCTTGAAGATCATGATCAAGGTCATTTATGGATGAAGTTAGTGTGGTCTACTGAAAGGTTTTGTCCCAAGGAATGTTGTGGCCAAGTATGAAGACAATACACCAAGAAATAAAAAAAGTTATGATCAAGGTACAAGTTTGCGAACGGCAATGGCAACGCCGCCAGGACTATAACAATACCTCTACTTTTTAAAAAAAAAAAAAAAAAAGTTGAGCTAAAAAGACAATTATGTACCTTGTATTGAGATTAATCTTCATTCTATTTTGAAGAGGACAAAATCCTTTTTAAAAACAAGCTTGTTTAAGCTTGCACACCATTACGATGGTACTTTGATGTGGAGACTGTTGAAACCTTTAGTCTGCTGGACAGGAAGTATGAAGTACGACTATTTTGTCATTACTACTGTACAGAGCCAGGCCTGTCTGAACATCCTTGTATTCTGGTCAGGGATTTACCGTTTATAGTGTTGGTAAATCAATTTGTGTATTTTGATATTGAAATCCCTTGACCTTCGAATGGACTGTTCCAAATTCAAAACACAGCAAGTCTGTTACACAAATTCAGCAGGTTTTATTATCTGCCCTGAATAGATCTGTCGGTAATTTTTTTTACTATTTTAATTTTGTTTTTCTTGCCCTTTTCCAGAATTTGTTTTCATTGCTCAGGAGTGATCTCCCTTTTCTGGATTTTTGTTTATATACCATTTTTTCTTTCATTTCAGGTCCTTCCCACTTTATTGTCACACATGAATGTTGACAAGGTTGGTGTCAGTATAGACTGGGGAACTTTATGTGTGTACACATGCAGTGAAAGCTGTTCTATAGGAAACACATACAGTAGAGAATACCTCTTCAAACAGGATGTTGTCTGAAAACTTGCAAGTTCAAATTTGGACATACAAAGAGATAACTTTATATGTAGTTTTAAATGTTATTTTGTGTGGCGGTGTAGCAGAGTGGTTAACATGTCAGACTAGAAATCTAAATTGCTAGCCATGTGGGTTCAAACCCCGTCAGGGGCAAGCTGTTGTTTCCTCGAGCAAGAAACTTTTCACTCATTGCTAAGAAGTGGTTAATTTCAGAAACGGATTCGAAAGTGTTTCAATAAGCTTATTGCTTCCAACACAATCAAACTAAAATAAATTTGTATAAACTAACTTTACATATTTAGATTGCTATTGGTCATTGTTCAGTTTTCTTTGCTGGTTTAAATGCTTCAGGAGTTGCATTGGTCATCTACTTATAACTAGTCATGAAAAATCTCTTTACAAAATCTAAGGACTATAGGCCAAATAAAATACAACACACATTTTGATTGCATAATGATAAAACAGTAGGATTATATTCTCGAGTTTTGCTAGAAGTAATTTTTAGTTTGCTTTAAAAAATACATCTATGTCCAAGTTCTGCTTGATTTATACAGCATGTCTGCAATATATCTCTTGAGTAAAACATTAAACTTTGATGTTTCTTTGTTCAATATTGAATAGAAAAGCAACAAGGAATTTATTTTAAAAACTTTATTTATTTTCAAATAGTTTCTGTTTCCATAGTTTAACAATTTTTGTTCCCATATTGTAACAATTCCTGTTCTTACAACATATGACGAGGATTTCAAGAAATTCAGGTACCGTATTGATGGATACTTGACAAATGAAAAAAAAAACTTACAAAAAAAGAAATTCTTTATACAATGTTTATCTGTCCAGCAGAAAGTTGCACACATCTGAATAAAAACAACAACCAAAACAACTGCCCAGACAGCCATAGCTAAACAAAACTTTCCAATCATTTATTAGTAATATCTGTAGAAAGTCTTGAGTATCAATGCAGCAAAATTTCATGGAAAATGATGTCTATTTTATTGGAGAGAAATTTGTGAAAGTTGAAATGTATGATGAGGGTAAAGCATATATTGATAGTCAGTTTATCAGACCACCATAATTTTCGGTTTTGTAAGTAAATCACACAGGAAATTGTTAAATCTGACTGGGTCTTGACAGATAATGTATTTGCCATTTTCATCATTGTTATAACTGTGTTATATTAATTCAATATTCCACATACTTTAGAAATATACATGAAAAGGTTTGGTAAAAAGAAACATTTTTGAAATAAATTCAATTAATCCCCAATAAAAACAAAGCAAGGCAGGTTTCGTGAATTGAATATTCTTAATATTGAGCCAATCAAAAATGATTTTGGACTAATGTAGTATCACATTTAACTAGAATTGACTACTGTTAACACACCGATATATTAAGTTTACATGTATATAGTTTGTAAGCTCTAGTTTAAGTTTGCAAATCTCATATTTGAGTATAAAATGGATATAATGTGCCCTGCAAATGTTTAGATGTTGTAGAAATACAGAAAGTAGCATTACAGAGGTAGCCTTGGGTACATAATGGTTTCTTTGCATATCTTGATTAACAATCTAGCCATGCAGCACAGGAAAATATATCGCCCTTATAGCCTAGACGTCTATCTTATTCCGTCACTGGCATTTGGGGATTCTGGGATACACAGTGTTGCTCTAATATTGTGGAAATGTCCATATACATACAACTATCTAATAATCTTTAGACAGAACCTTGGATAATGCATGTGTAAATATGTGAAATCCACTGATAAGATATTGTGATAACATAATGAACTATTGCTTTAATAACTATGAGGAAGTAACACTGAGCCTTTCACAAGATCCTGAAAATAAATAAAATAAAAACATTGTAATGTTATGTGTTGAACAAATAAGCATGCATATAAATGGAGTAAAAGTTATCTAGTATGAATGTGAAAATAGTTTATGCTCTCAGGTGTTAATAGATTTAAATGACTGCATGTTGGAATATTAGTCACATCAACACTGTAAGGGTCAAATGGTGACTTTCCAGCTTTACTGGTGGAGGAAAACTGCAGGTGCCCATTTCTGCATTATTTCAGGCACAAGTTGACACCTGAATAGAACCATAGACATTCCATTAACTGAGCTGGATAGCTTCTTCACATGAAAGAGTCCATTTACAGATGGGATTTGAATCCACAGCAATGAGGTGAGAATGATCAGTAGTTAGTGATCTTAACCACTTTGGCCACGGGGGCACTGTGGCTAGATTTAACTAAAAGCAGCTTAAAGGATAATTTGTTTCAGCAATGATTAGTTACAAATAGTAAATATCCATAACATAAAATTACTCGAGTTAAAAGTAGTGAAAGGGTGGGATCTGATCCCTATTACAGAGATGTTTCACATACTTTTGTAAGATTCACAAATTACCAGACAGCCCGACAGACAAGGCCAGACCTTTATCCCACCATATTCAACCAGGGACTATAAAAATACCATAATACAGTATGGCGTACATGTATCTACAATATAGGTGAGTAGAAAAACTGGTTAAATAGCTTACAGCATTTTCTTTCAATCTAGCCGTCCAGTCATAATCCTTTAATTTAGGAATGACTTTTAGTAATACATCTGTAGCTCTCTTTGAATTTTCCGCAAAAGTTTTCATCACATTTTCTACATTCACCTGAAATGGGAAAGTAAATGTTAGAACAAGTCACAAGAATTATTTGCATGTATGATAAACACAATACTTGTTTCTTTGGTTTTCCCATTGTCTTTTAAATCTAATATTGTAATTTATTACATTCTTATATAAAATATTGAGAGATATTGATGAAATAAAATGCACATTTTTTTTTCATTGAAAAAAAAAATTATTTTTCACTGCATTGAAACATATTTTTCCTTACTGGTATTTTAACTGGTGTCTAACCAGACAACTTTCTTCAAAATTCAGCCAATGCACAAAATTTAAGTCCCCCAAATTGTAATGTCAACAAATATAAAAATGTACAAAATAAACAGAAAATTCAAGTTTTCTATAAATACAGGATTAACTTTCATCTTGTGGTATGAAAATTGTTATATTTCACTCAGGGCTACCGAAAATAAATCCTGTGTTTATAGAAAAAAACATGAAAAATCCTCTATTTATAATAAGAAGACTAACTATCAGGTCAGCTCAATACAACCTGATGCATGGAATTTTGTTGGCCAGGCTTTATATAATGATTACACTACTAAGGTCATTTATTGACTTTCCAACTTGTACTTGTGGAAATAAAGCAAACAATTTTATTATTATCAACTTGCAACAGATGCATAATGTATAACAAGATTAGAAAGAACAAATAAAATGAAAAGCATTATTAAAGTAAAAGAAATTTTTTAAACACCATTCATCCAAATGGCAATATCCAGTGAACATAATCTCTATCCTGCAAAATCATTATTATTCCTTAGGAACTAATTTTCAAGGTTTTTCATGGATAAATCCATCCTTGAATTGAAGATCCAACAAAACTTCATTTTGTCTGCTGTAAGATTATTTTGCATGACATTATTTACATATTACCTTTTGGAAAAAACAGTCCACAAATTAAAGACCACAGAAAATGTACCTTGTGATAAATGAATGTTAGTGAATTCACAGTATTACAGAAAATGAAACAGATATTTACTGATGCAGTGTCTTCTCTCCAGCTATCATAGTCTGTAACCAAACCCATTGCTGCATAACACAGTCCAGATTCTCGTGCTAACACAACCTGTTCAATTATAAATTACATATACAGTGGATCAATTTTTAGAGGATATTGAATGAGTGTAAGTTCTAGAATGAGCCCAGTATTATTATATTATTATTGGAGTCTCTGACAAGTATATTATTTTATTTAATCATTTTAATAAATTCAGTAATGTTTCTACATGAATGTAAAATTCTATTTATCATCAGACTTCACGAAATATGTCGGCCCGACAGACATGCCCGATAAATTTTGATTAGGTAACTGGTCTGATGATTTTTTACTCCGAATCGGTCCGGCTTTTATCCAAGTCGCATGTATACAAAACCTGGGAAAAATCGAAAACCTATGTCAGAGGAGCGCACAGAACAGCGGTAAATGGATGAAAAGAATAGACCTGAGACAAAATTTAATGAAAAATTGAAGCAGGACTAGTTGGGGTATTACAGGGAGGAGATGAAAATGCGCTGTACAAACTGTGCTGAATTTTACGGCAAAAAAATTAAAACCAAAGTGTCTTAGAAATACAAACACAAGTTTTCCAATGATTATGATTAATTTTATTCGGTCGGACAGATTTTGTTTCAGTCCGACAGATTTTCATGGTTTGTCAGACCGAATGTCTGACACTTTTTTTTAACTTTCCGGAAGTCTGTTATCATATAACCAAAATAAAGTGTTTGAAGTGAAAAAGATCCATTTTTCAATGATATAGCGACTAAAGAGTAACACTAACATGTAGAGCATATTTAGACTATGTTTGTATAACACAAATGATGTCATGTCAAAATATATGCACAGCCATGCAACACCGTATTTATGTAGTCGAAAAGGCTGCTCGAGTACGTGATTAAAGGTCATAGCATTAGTGAACATTAGGTTTAATACTGCATAAATTGCACACGGCAATCTCTAAACTTAACTGTGAAATTTTCCCTAAAAAGTGTAAATGGCTTTTATTCAGATCAAAGGATGAACAAGTCCATTTTAGTGCACAAAGAGTTGAGATACCTACCTCAGGTACTGTTGTCATATTGATACAATGTGCTCCCCAGAAATTCCACATTTTACTCTCAGCCTTAGACGAGAACCTTGGACCTTCTATTGTGAGCATGGTACCACCTTTATGCACATTATATCCACATTCCTGGGCTGTTTTGTATATAAACTACAAAGAATCACACAATTTAGGCTAGAAAGTAGATATATCAAACAAAGACAAGAGATCTTGCCATCCCTGAAGTTTCAAGTTGGTATCTCAAATACTGTTTCATTTATGCCATGGACAAAAATTAAATTAATATTTCAATGGGAAATAACTCTCACTGATGAGATCTACCAATCTGTTATGTTTCAAGTTAATACTTCAAATATATTTTGTACCTCTTCAGTCAGTTATGCCCATGACAAAAATAATGTATGAAAAAATACAAAGGGCAATAACTCATTAATTATGCAAAAGCCGTTGTTTCCTTGATCAGGCACTATATCTAGTCAAAAGTGTAAAGTGACACATAATCTTCATCTGGTCTTATCCAGAGTTGGTTTTTAGCTGGAGTTATTTGTAGTATAAACTTACATCACTAGTGATAGGACAGAAAGGTTCGGCTAAAGGTATATGACAGATACCTGCAGGTCCCCCAGTTGTACCATCATAGAAAGTCTGGTCCCGATGATGTGTTCTGAAGAGGAATGTCTAGACAGTTAGAATTAAATGTATATTTTAACAGCAAACCTACTGAATATTTGTAATCACTTTGTCCTGCTTTGAATTCTTCAAAGTTTTAGGCTTTCGATTAAAAAATTCGGTGATTAACAGTATATAGCCTACAAATACAAGTTCAAGCTAAGAGTAATACACGTCAATACCAGGACAGGTTTACAATACTTTCTTAATGTCTACTAAGTTGGGTCAATACTTGACCAGGACCAATAGCCAAGCTAGATTGTACGAATATGCAGACTGGCTATATACTTGTGGCATAGGCTAACCACTTTTCGTTCCAGCAGAGTAAGGGTTGAATTGATCATAAAAAGTAAAATTCATTGACATTTTCAGCAACAAAATACATTTTACTAGATCATCACAATAAATGAATTATAGTGCAACCTGGACAGATTGGTCTTCTGTTGAACAACAACTTCTTCACAACTTAAGGTTCACTACCTCCCAAACTAAGACTTCATAAAGAGCATCCCTGGCAAGTAGTTAATGTTACTGACTTCAAACCACTTGCCCCTCATTGATTCACTGCTGAATGACCAGTAATGTGTCAATGTGCCCTAAAACACAACCTTTACAGAGGTTGTACTGTATTAAAATAAAGCATACCTGTCAATAAACTGATCAAGAACTACAATATCTCCTGGATGAATGCCTTCCTGTAGTGATCCACAAGCTGTAGTAACCAGGATGTGAGTACAACCTTCCTCCTTTAGAGCCCAGATGTTGGCTCGGTAGTTGACCCTGCCAGGCATAATGGTGTGACCACGAGCATGTCTGTAATGTTTAATACACGTGCAATGTGTAACAATAATTTTTTATATTTCATGCACTCATGACTAAATCATTGAAAACAAAAGAATAGTCTATCTATAGAATTCATTCTATGAATACATGGCTTAAAAGCCCACTATGCCACGTTGTTTCAATTTTTATTTCTCAAAAGCTTTTTTATTTTTTGTGTCCTATTATAGTTTCCAAAAAGTTACTAATTGGACAATTACTTGACCATCTTTAGTTTTTGTAGCTTTTTAGCAATGAGTAAAGTTTTATAAGTATTTTGTATGGAAGTCAAAATACTTTTATGACAATTGACAAAAAATAATATTTTCAGCACTTCTTTCTTCAGGTGATAAGCATGTAACATGCTCTTAAACCATTGATAAAACATTATAAAAACTCATGATAGGCCTTTCTAAGCCAGTCATTATTGCTGCTTGCAAAAAAAGTAGATTTTTTACCTTGATAATAAGACACAGTCAACATCTCCGATTTTACCAACAACGAGAGCATCCGAGGGCTGATAATGATAAAATAAACAATTATTATATTCAAACTTAATTTGTACTTGTACAAAATATACTGTCAAATAGTTGATCAAAACATGCAAAAATAAATATTCACGTTATAATTTCTGAATTTCAGACGAGGGTAGCTTTATGTTTTGACGTCGGGTTTCTTTTGTAGTAAATAATAATATTCAATTTAAGACAAACCTGTTCATCTTAAGTGTTCTAAAAATAATATACTTATATATTTACATACACAATACATATTA